ACCCCAAATTTCATGTTGGGCCATTTTCAAAAATTCCTCACGTCTAATTTAGACCGGACACGTGAAAAGTTGTCCAGTTTTAACCAGTGCAGGACTACGTAAGGATTGGCAAAAAAATGATTTTGCTCGAATTAGAAAATTTACAATTTAGCCAGACATTAAAGTTGGGCCATGCCCAAAAATTGTTTTGGTCCGATCTGGAGCAAGTAGAGACGTGAACTTTTGGTCACACTAACCAAAGCCAGTGGCTAGAAATGGAGCGAACTTCGACCTAAACCTAAAAATCAGGTAAAATAACGCCCATTTTTGTTAATTGTCTTGCAATGTCCAGCAGGAGATCATTTTTATATATATTTGCAGGCACTTTGTTATAACAAGGTGATTTATAAGCCTCAAGACAGGCAGACAAGACTCAATTTTTCATTTTTTGCGCCTTAACAGCTTCCATGGGGACAACAGAACAAAAACCTTAAGTCTTGCAAACTTTCCTTGCAGGAAGGGGGAGTTTTGCCTATGATGGACATCAAAAAGTCTCCAATATCCTACGATGTGGATACATAGCGACGACTACCTTCGGGGGCATGTTCTACATTTGCATGCGCCCCAACAGCCATAAGGGACTGTTGCGGTGGGCCTTCCACCTCTATGCTTCCCCGTGCAGCCACTCTGAGCTACAAATCGAGTCATTTAGGTCCCGATGTGAGCATGAACACAATGAAGTGTGCTACTTTAGGACGCGCATCTTCGATTCGCCGATTCATATCAGTCGGAGGAGTAAATTATCAGGCTGAGAACAGCTCAGAGTCTTACGGTACTCAGCAGTGTGATGTTGTGGTGACCAGGGGGGCAGGTGGACAGATTCTGGTATCAGGAACGGACATTCCGGACAAGATACTTTGGAAGTTTGACGATATAACTAATAGTGGAGTTAATAATCCGGACGTGGTGAGTGGAAGTACTGGCAGGCTTCCGGACGCGGTGGTTAGCCGGACGACCACATTGTGATATATAGGTTAGGTAAATGTGAACTGTAAATATCAATTTTTATATGATATAGACAAAAAAACAAAGGCGAACATTTACAAAATGGGTTTGGAATATAGGAACTTTTATATTCTATGAGAACACACATTTTGCTCAATGGCTCTTAGCAGCAGAACAGATTCGAAGTGAATTGATGAAGTATTTATTATAAATCCATCGCCAAACAGTGGAAGCGTTAATAAAGTGCCAGGAGCAGTGATAATTCACTTTACTCGCAACGTAATGCTATCATTTGGTAAATGTTCGCCTTCTTGGTTCAAATTCGCCCCATTAATTAATAAAATTCAATTGTTGACTGATAAATATATTGGTGTATACAATTTATGAATAAGCAAATGCGGATATTAACGTTAAAATATAATTCAGTCTGTTTATAAATTACGTACTTAATTGAATCGGCTTTTAAAAACTAATTTGAAATGCAAGTGGAAGCAGACGTTTTAACCAAATCCCTTGATGAGGTTGCGGAAAACATTTCACTATTTTTCAGGTCACCTACTCCGAAACATGCAACTATAAATCATCGATTCTTTACTACATTTAGCACAATATTGACTGGCATCCAAGTTTACGAGTAAAAGTTGGTCGTTTTTTGTCCGAAAACTTCTTGGCAAAGAAAAGCCCTTAACACTTATTTTGCTGGAATTTTTAAATTGATTTATATTCCCGAATTCTTTGCCAATGCTGTGGACGCGCTTTGAAATTTAAGTCATAAATTATTCGGCTTCTTATTGGATTGGTCGGGGTCATCTTTTCAGACCCGCAGAATCAGGAACGCTATCTGGCAAACAAAAGGAATACGAGCGGCAAGTAAATAAGTTTTCTCAACCTCGACAAGTCAATTGGAATTCTAAATTAGCGCTGTATTCCTATGCATGGCTTAGTTAAGATCTGTTATATTTAGCAACAAATTTGCAGACAGAAACACAACAAATCGGCCAATTTGTTTACTGTTAGTTAATGTTAAATATACATTATATTTTATTGGCAAATATTTATTAAGTAACAACCAATATGTTAACGATAACGAGTTGTGCCACTTGCTACATTGATTTATAAGATATTTAATTTATTACTGTTGTTAATTTGTAATCGATCATAAATAAATATTTTAAAATTATCAGATGTTTTACTAATTGTTTAATCGTCAAAGGTCCAGACCGAGTGTTCACTTTAATTTCACTAGTAATGATTTTTATTTCAAAATAGTTCAATGCTCGAGCAGAAGGCCGTCACTATATTTTTGTTTTCTATTGAAAAAGGCATATTTCAATAATTTATTGTTGAAAATTCGGTAGAACTCAACATAAAAATGTAAAATAGCATCTGCAATTTAAATGTTAGCTCTCTAAGAAAACAATTTTACAGGCACTTACGTAGATAGTCGTAAAGTAATCAACAGTTTCTCGCTTTCATCTAACAATTTTCTGCACAAAGTCCTGCTGCAATTTAGGGATATTAATGGTTGTCGGTTGTGATAGAAGGTTTTCCTGAGGGCACAAAGTGGTTAAATGTATGGTTTTCTGGCTCATTCTAACTAAATGTTATCAAAATGCCCATTGGGTGGGTACCAGGAAGTAATTCCAACAACGCCTGCCGAAAATATCCATAAAGCATCCATTAGGGGCTTTCCCTAATGGAGTTTAAGCAGTATAATTTCTTCGGACCGATAAAAACAGTTCGAATTTAGACTTCCTAATACCCGAGCATTTAGTATTCCACGGAGCTGGTTTGCGGGTTAAGACAAACGATCAATGCAAAACTGGGCATATTTCATAAACTTTTTTACTTTAACTCTGCGAAACTTCTGATCGATCGTCTGACGTCTGCATCTGATATTAGCAATAAAGACGCTCTGGCGGCTTGATACAAATTAGGCAAATTAAGACTGAAACGAAAATCTTCTGTTGAAAAATTAGAACAACAATCTACGCTGTTTCATTAATTAGCCGCGTTCGCTTTGGAGGACAAATTGAAATAATGAATAAGTTCGTGTGAACTTTTCGTTTCATTAGCGAATTTAATTATCAAGGAGGACAATTGGAGAGGAAGTTCATTTTGAAGTTTCCGTTGGAGTTCACTCGGGAATATAAGAGAAAGGTAATTAAAAGAAATTATTTTTGTTCATGTATCAAGCGGGTCCGATCAGGTCGGAAGCTCGGATAAAATGAATAATACTTAAATTAATTTCTGTTTGATAACGTTTTAACGCTTTTTTTAAATTCCGATACTTTTTTCACTATTTTCATGTCATGACAGAAGTGTGTATTGTTAGAATACTGGAGTGCGAAATTTCTACGAGCAAGCGCTCAAACAATATCATCAATTCTCTCAGCCCACGTCCTATTTTCGTACAAGAATTTCAACTATCGATTTTCTTAACACAATTTCAAGAGCAAAATCAGCAACACAAGATTTTACCCGCTTTAGCGCTAATAACTGCAAGGAATCTGGTGCCAATAAAAATAATTTTCCTTTACTACTCATCTCTCAAACAATTTTCACAATTTGAATGTTTCCCGGGTTGCTAAACTTTCATTTCGTGGCGGCAAAACAGAAAATTGTTCAAAAAGTTAAATCAGAGAAGAGACGAAGTAACAATATTGGGAAGAAAATGAATACAAATACAAAACATTTTCCAAGAAAACCTTCAACAATACTGTCCTAACGAGACTTTATTAAGCTGCTCAAAAGCAAACACTTTTATTCCCAAAATGTTTATCTATAGCTTCTAACCGCACTTTCGAATGTGAGCCAGTTCTGAAGCTATTTGGGGCTTGATTATATGAGGAACATGCGAGCTGAATAAATATTAGGGCTGATTTCGGTCTCAGACGTGGTCCCGATCCTGACCTACATTGGTTTGGTAAATGGGCTGGAAAAAGGATTTAGCGATAGCAGCTGAGAAGTAATATGATGAGCAAATTTTTAAACTTTACATAAAGATCTCTAACTTTATTTAAAGCCATATCTGGCGAATCGTTTTATACAGTTTTTTTGTTCTCAGAACTATTTACTATTCAGCCGGCATAGTTTCATGGCCTCCAAGTCTAAAATAAATGGCTTATGCAAATCTAGATCGCGCTCATTTTTCTTCAACTTTTTTCACTTTGATATTGGAAAGTTCTAATCGACTGGTTTACGAGCAAAGGGTTTTTATGGGTGTTAAAGTGAATTTCTTCAGATATTTCCCACGACAAAAATGTTTCAACTACAATTCGTTGGGTTGAGTTACAAGTTAGGGAGAGATTACGTTCTTACATAGAAATGTGAAAAGAGACACAATAATAGGGAAATAAACAGCTCGAAATATGAATATAGTTTGTGCTTAGTAGAGCGCTTCGCATGATCTCGCCTAAGCTTCGTAGGTTTAAAGCATTCACCCTCTTAGGAACGAGTTTATATCCGACTCCCCTTACCGCCACTAAATCATTGATAAGTTGAGGATAACTAAACCATTGCAGTTTACAAAAAGCTGAATCACAATGCATTTGAACAAACCTTGAGAATTAATTTTTAAAATTGATTTTGGTTTTCAAAGTGTTTGGGAAACTTAGCCATTCTTGTTAGGAATAGATGAAAAGTCTACTTGTAGAGTGGTGGTTCACCAAATGAATGGTGTAGGTAGAAAGATAAAATGGTCTGAACATCCTGCACGCAATGTTTTGCATCTAAATACACTGTTGAAACTGAGCACATAATGTTTATGCTTCACGACCATAAATTGGGTTTTAAATATTCGCTGCAGAACGAAACAGAAAGTTTTTCATGCTTTGAGGAAAAATGGCTCATGCATGTTTCAATTTGGTTCCAAATAGACTATTAAGCGGCGAAAAGGAATCTAAAACCGATATATAAAAATCCTCCTTCCAGAAGTGTATGTAGCTTGCTTAAAGGAATATTTGCATAATTTAATAATATAACACGTCGAAGGGGAGCCTGCCGATACCGCATACCATGCAAATACAACCCCGGGAACACGTTCTAGCAGGCGAGGGGATGAACTGCCGCCACCAAAATGAGATTAAATATTTTAGCAATTCCTGCCTTTGTTATGAAGCCTGGTTACTGCATTTTAAGGCAGGTTGAGAAGAAGATTGCGCTAATTGCTTACTTTAAAATCCGCAGGGTGACTCAAAAATGAATGGTGCAAGATTATGCCAAAATTTCATGTTTTGCGTCCCGTTTTTGCTCATTTCTCGGAAGCCAAACTGAGCAAGAACGCTCATTTTTACAAAATTCCAGAGAGGCCTTTTTAGAAAGTGAACCATCGAGAAGGAAATGTTGGCAGTTTTATTACAATTTATCCGGCAGCTGTAAGAAGTTTGGCCGTCGCATGTTCGACTGAAAATGGTACAACTCGGCCAACTGCAAAGCTTTGAAATATGCAAAGTTGCAGAAGTAAATAGTTTTTTAAGCTTCCAAGAGCCACTCTCTGAATTTGTAAATACGCTTCGAGCTGATGCAGAAAATCGGAACGCCAAAACTAACTTCTGAGCGTTTTAACAGACGTAAATAAATACAAATGAAGATGTCGCTTTTGAACCAACTTCCGTGCGGAGATGAGCGAAAAATTACTTTTGAAATTTGCAACTAGAGTCGAGTCCAACTTGCACTTGATGGCCGAAGATTCCTTCGATTATACTAAAGTTGAATTTGCATTATATACATTTGATTTCGGCAAAAGTCCAAAGATCTGGATTCACACGTACAATGCGAATGTTGTTTTTACAAAATTCAAAGTTGCTAGCCAAATAATTAAAAATGTTTTCAGTTATTTTTGTGTATATTTAAGTTAAATGTTCTTATGATATACTGAGCAACTTATTACTGGACTTTATTTTGTGTTCACTCTGGCCAACCAGATAGTAGATAAAAAGTATAAAAAAGAGTGAAAGATGAAAGCACTTCTGGTAAAAAACTGAATTGGCATATTTCGGAAATCGAATAAATAATTTTTTGGCAACTTTACAAGATTTTAAGGGTACAGTATACAAGATTCTTCAAAAGGTTGAATAAAAAATGCCGTTTACCACCCTTAATTAAACCCTCTATTTTTTAACAGAAATATAATTAAAAAATGTAAGCTTCAAGCAACTGGAAAGTGAAAATCAAGCGCCTTGTGTTGCAAACATGAGATTTTCTTGAACGGAGCGTTCATTCAATACTCAGCCATTAATATGAATGGAAAATAAACTGGCTCAGAGTAAATATTACATTCGTTTCAAAATCAAATTAGAAGCGTGGGCAGCGAGGGTTTAGCATCACTTTATAATTGGAAATTCATAGAAAAGAATTAAATTGATATTCGAATGAAAGTAAAAAAACTAAATTTAGCAATGAACAATGCTATAAAGCAAGCAAAACATATTGGGAAAAGTATTTGAGCCACATTTTAAGAGAACAGCCCGATACTGAGCAAAGCTCATGGGGCTCTGATAATAAAAAGCATTTGAAACTTAATTTTGAATAAATTGTTTACATCAATTCCTGTAAGAGCGACTCACAAAAACTATCCCTTGACTTGCTGAATTTTTATTTCACTTTTATCGCAGCTTTATGTTAATGCATACTTATAATAAAGCAGATTTTATGAAGAGTAGCGTTTTTAGGGCCAAACTTATCGTATTGCGATAAATCTGAAAGTTAATAACATGTTTTATAGTGTTCTTGTAAACGGGTTGAGAAAAGTATCCGTTAAATACAAAGTGCTCCTCTTTATCGGATTCGGGAACATCGAAAATAAATTCAGGATCGTATAAACGTATTTATTATACATGTGTGGAGAGGTAGAGTTCTTTGAAAAGGACCGTTGAGAGGGGTTTGATTTAATTGCGCATTTAACTGCTTAGCCATAAGAATTAAACTTTGGTTGTATCTTAAGCAACTTATGGCTACCGCGGCCCGATGTAAAAATGCATTGTTCACATAGGCATCAATTTAAGCTGAAAAAGTTGCAAAACTTCAAACTAGGACTCTCTCTATAATTAGCGATGATTTAGAGCTACGTCGCTAACGCGAAATGTGCGATAAATTTTCACCAACAAACGGCAATTTCCAGAAGATAATTGGATAATAAACAATATTTTCTAAAGTTCGCATCTAAAATGTTTAGAACTTACTTCGTTTAGTATCAAAATCATATCATCCTTATTGGAAAACCCTTACTTTTTTCTTCTTTGAGCAAACGATTTTTGAAGAAATGTGGTTTCTCTTCTGTCAATCCCCAGTTGATTATTTATATGGAATAATAAGAGTATATTTTTTATCTTACTTACCTACTCATTAACGTGCCAAATTTTTGGCAATAAATACGGAATAAGTACCAATTATCAGGCCATAAAAATAATGCCGACTTTTCTTCTGTAAAAAAGCATCAATTAAGACCTAATGCAAAAGGAAAAAACCAGTATTTAACCTTGTGGAAGAAGCGAACAAAGCAAATCAGCAAGCAACTAAATAAACCGCTAGTTTTAAGCCTGAGCGCTAGTGTTTCCGAGACTATCAATTTGAAAACAGATAAAGCCAAATTCGGAGTTTTCACTTTGTGGGAACAATTATTTAACCGTAATCTCGTACGACGGATTTTAGAGCTTCGCTACTGTTCCTCTATCCTTCTTTTGGGCTGAATAAACGCTGCCATCACTTGAAACCAGCGCTTAATAGCGGATATAATTAGCTGAAATTAATTTGTTTGATGCTTTGAAAAACGCAATTTCGGTCTGTCTTCAAACATGCTCCAACGTTAATAATTCCTCAAAGTTAGCGAATCGATGAACACGTTGTAGATTGCTTTAGGCTAAAGTGTGCATGTGAAAGGAAATTAATTCGTGATGGAAAAGTGCAGAAACCACAACAATTTTTGAGAATGTGTTTTGCTAAATTATTTATTTAATCATTTATGGTTGGTGAAATTGCCCCTTTCCTGCCAATCCATCACGAACACGGTAATTTTTTCGGATCCAATAAATAATTTTCTTGTCCGACTTTCGATCTTATCCGTGAAATTCATTCCAGCTCGAAAAAGTTTTCGAACACACAAAAACGGTCGTCCCACACGTCACGACTTAATTTAAAGGATATTATCCCGGCCAAAAATCGGGATGAGCCCGTAAAACGTAAAAAATAATTTAGTACTTGTTCCGGTCAGCTAGGAACAGCCCGATATGGAATTGTGCCGTAAATATTCTCTTAATCGCCTTTATGGTTCTTGATATATCTGGAAGTTCAAAGTATTTTCTGCTTTATTGACTGATCAGAAGTCAAATTTTCTTCTGCGGCGAGGTGGAGAGATGCAAAAGAAGATAGGGAATATTTGTGTAAGTTTGAGTTTGCGATGCCGAGAGTAAATTATGAAACTGTCTGGTCCTAATGATTTATTGCAGCATTTGAACGCTCAGAAATTATTCTTGAGGCTTTATAGACACGACGTTTTTTATCCCAGCTAAGAAGGAGTAAAGCGACATCCAGCAAATTGCCAGCAGAAATGTATGTCAGATTTACATTTTTGTGAGCGTAATTCAGTTAGGCCATAAATCAAGCTTTCCTCTCATGATGACTCTTATTCATAGCGAGGAAGATATATGCAGAAGAATTTTCTTGAGAACGCCGCGCCGTTTTACACGACTTGGACAAATTTATGGCTGCCACGAATATTTATTTACCTTAAGACTTCAGATTTCCTTTCAGCCGTTATTTGGTCGATTCATGCTTTTTTTGTTAACGAACCCACACTAGAGGTTCAAATAGTTACTGATGGGACCTCAATCATGTCAAAAAACACAACTTTCATATTCGCTATTGGACAACTTCTTAGGTCGGAAGCAATCCAATAAAGGCAAAAAACAAAAAAGAAAATTTCATAAAGGGGGAGTAAGAGGTCGATTTTTCCAAAAAACTTAAGTTTCTCAAAATACCTCCACTGATACATCATTTTCATCGCAAAGGCTAAAGATTCACATTTAAAGCACCATCTATTCTAAAGGGGCTCAAGCACGTCGAGATATCGATACATTGATCGTCAAAAGCAGAAAATCGCAAAGAGAAAGGTTTCTGAGCAGGAAAATGAATGCAATGTAAAGAATTCTGGTCATGGAAGATTGTCAAGTTATTCTTCATATTCCTACATGTAGGTGGCAGCTAAGCCATTAAAAAACTCCCGCAAATAATATCCAACAACATGTGCATTAAACTTGTTTTACTGTATGGTTTTACTCAAGTCGCAGGTTGTGAGGCAAGACCACTTTTGTCACTAATGAGGAAATACGAAAAAAACAAAAAATTTCCATTTCGCCCCAGTTGCTTTCTAGTTTTGCCTCTCTCCATTAGAGCGTTGCGACTATTAAGCAGTTCTCGATCGATAACTTCTTTAGCTCGGAAGACTTTAGACTGCAAATATTTAAACTCTTTGTTCGCAGAAAATAGATACTTAAAACGCTCCTCGGCTTCTTTCGGATCTAAAATCACCATCTTTAACTCGCTCAGCTTCAAGTTAAAATCGTTAGTTTTACCTAATAACGTGATGTTGAGCACTTGTTGAGCCTCCTGCAACGACATGTTGTTACATGCTCTCTCTATTTCAGTTTTCTGTGTTTGATAGCGGATTTTGGCCAGTTCTCTGCTGAGTTCTATTTCCTGTAGAATCGACTTTCGAACGGAAGAAATGAAAATTTTAACTCCATGGTACAGAACTTTAGACAAGGCTTTTACCATTATTTTGCCTAACACATCGTTGTTAATTTAAAGATTTTAGGAAAAATGTGTCAAAACAGTGACACTTTCAACTGGGATTTCATTAACCATTTTTGGATAGAGAATTGAAAA